GGGGGGGGGGGATAAAGGTGATACGAACACGCACAGTTTAGGAATACTAGAAAAAGATGATCACAAACAACAAATGTTAAACGCCACTCTATTTTTCCTATATGTGTATAGATAACTATGGATAACGATTACATGTGTGAAGTTTTGTTTTTATAACATAGCCAAACGGCAATAAATATGAGCTCCGTATTATTTTCTTAACGTCTACTCTCAGAGTCAGTGACCGGTGTCTGAACGGGGCAACTGGGTCGGTTTATCCGTAGCTACTCTCCGATATCACGAAGGGCATAACTTTGTCGCTTCAGATACAACCTGTCAACGGGTGCGAACACGGGTGACGCACAATACACTCGCTATACACCTGTCACCGATATACGCCCAGTCATGGTGTGGATATCCCAGGTTGTCAAGTGATTCCTTCCATCTTTCCGTGGGCGTTTTTCGTATGCGCTTAGCGAGCTTTGAAACGGAAGGCGGAACTTCGGCGTGTACCGTTGAAAGCCATACTACCGGTACTAATAAAAACAACGCATATGGTCATTTCCTCAAGCCACTTGAAGTGTGATGAGAGGAGAGAGGGGAGGGGGGGATACTTTTAGAGTTCATTGAACTTCGATGAGTCATCGCATAAAAGGGTCGTACTGCATATTTTTGACGAAAGGGGGTTGTTTTAACGGGGATAAAGAAGTGTACAGCAATGTGCCAGATGCCAGATAAATCACTGGCACTGACGTGATGTGAAGGTAGAACGCCCCCCTGGAGTAAAATGGACACCTGGTAATTTATTGGGGGCATACACTCCATACGCGTAAATACAACGGACCTCGTATGAAAGGCGGTAGGTATTTCTTGGCCAGGTGACCCAGCAGGACAGGGTACGGAATAGGTTCTCAGGCTCCAGGGATGGAGATCGGCAATATTGCTCGATTTATAAGAACAAAACAAATACAATTAGTGGAAAAGGTCACGTTGACGATAAGCCACAGTTAGCATATGTCGCTTATCGGGAAGCGAACACAAATAAAATATTGGGTAGTTATACTGGTCATCGACACAACAACTGAGATGTGCCCGTGTCATAAGCCTCGCGTGATGATGTATATCATGCTCTTTTCCGGGGTCGCCTTATTCTTAAAAAAAATCGAAAACAACAATTCACCAACATGCATACAAGGGCAATGGCGGTGTTCCAAAGTATCGACGGGATGTGATATGTAACACCACTATATAAACCACGAAACGTTCTTTTTGTATGTATTTTGTCTTGTAATAGTTTGTCAAACTTTTTTAGGACGTACTAAAGTATAAATTGCGGGACGTCATCATTAAAACTTCTATCGGCGCTCATTTGCAAGAAGAAGTTTTTGTTTCAAGTCTAACTGATGCAAGTTTAAAATGGCAGATATAGCCACGCGAGTGATTTTTTTTTTCAAATCACGGAGGTCACAGTTGGGTGTGTACGAATAATAGCCAAGTCTTTAGCACCGTGGTCCCAAAAAAACCACAGACATAAAAAACAATTGTTGTCCAACGTGTTCAGAATAATAGATAGCGGTTTCAGTTCATTTTTTCTATAGAACTCCATTGTTTCTAGACTGTCAAGACGACGTCGGTGGCCGAGCATTCGTGAAAAAGGACAATTAGGAAGTCCCTAATTGTTTTATTGAGAGCCATTTACCGTCTAATTTGTAAGTTTACTTTTCGCGACTTTTTAGAATAAAGACATCTCCGCCGCCCACCAATAAAAACAACAGCGGGGTTGCCGAAACACTACAGTCACGGTAGATAAACAGCGAGGTGCGATACCGATGACTCCGTCCTTCAAAGCGTACTTATAGCGAAGTTTGATTATTTGTCTCCGATAACAAAAAAACACAACTTGTCGGGGATATTTACTGTGCTATTATAAGTGATGGCATGGGCCGACACACATTTATGCTAATGATTACCTCATATACCCCGGAATATTCTATTAGTACGCACTGGAGTTGTTAGAGAATGCACGTCGTTAAATAAACCTCACGCATCAAGGTATATATATAGTATATATTATACATTTAAACAACATGTACATATATTTAGAATGTAAACAATTTGAGAAATAAGCAAACATAAATATTGTTTTATTTAATACGAGTTCAGTGGGCATAATTTTTGTCAAGCGCCCAATATGAAACAGATCCGACTTGCGCAGTACATGCAAAATATTAACACCTATAATTAGACCTACCAATTTTCGCAAGTATGATGTTAATTTCATAACAGTACAATTTTCAAAATGTGTGCGGTCGCGATTGAAACTCGAATCCAAAATTAGTGTTAGACATTCATATGAGGCACGAAATTGAATGAAACTGTTGCAGTAGTACACATGATATATATATATATATATATATATATATATATATATATATATATATATATATCCATTTTTATTTAATGTTATTTTGTTTTGTTTTCGTAAAATCTGGTTTCATGCCTGCCATTATATTCGTATCAGCCTTAGATTCAATAAACTCAATGGGAATAAACGCTAACGCCATGTAGCAAATACTATTATCCGCCTCATACATATTTACAACCTCAACGATCGGAGCCAAAGTTGCATGGTTTATCCCTTTCGCGGCATGAATGTTTACAACGCAGCGTAGATACTCGACGACTAACTGAGACGGGCCGGGCCGATTTATGTTCCGTGTACGGAGTCCAACGACGGGCATCGTATGTGTATAATATTCTTGCATATAGTGTTTTATTGGTACAAAGAAATAATAATAATAACGACAACGACATCGTTTACTAATATAGTTGCTCGGTACAAACAACTGCGTCTTTTTTTGGCGGGTTCGGTGACCACACGGAAAGAGTCGATTTGAAGCGATTTGAGTACTGTACACCCCGTCGTGTTGATAGTGAGCCCCACCCCTCTCCTTCTTGTCGAAAGTACGGTGAGTTGCAGAGAGCAAGAAGAGAGAATAAACGGCTTATTTCATGTTGTGGTTTTGAAATCGACCAGGTATGTAAAACAGCGTGTCACCGTGGTTCTGACAAATTAAGAAATTAAAGTCATCAAGTGTTCTACACAGGTGTGTTGCGTTACTTGTGAAATATGGTTCGATTGCAATGAACACACGAATGGAGTTCGACCTTTGACCTATTGATAGCCGTACCAAATATTTACAATGTGTTTCCCTCTATGCTAATTTTAAACCAAGTCAAGTGTTTTTTTTATAGCAGAAAGAAATAGTGTTCGCAAGCGTAATTCCCATAGTTTTTTTTCAGTATTGCGAGTTGATTTCATTTGTTGATTTCAGTCCATTGAAATTGTCGTGAAAATTTACCATATTTTGAGAAAAAAAAACACACACTTAATTGTCAGTTATACCGGTCAGGTTAAAATACACCCTGTTTTCACTCGATTATTCGTCGTTTTTTTTTACTATAGGGTACGTCATGAAATTGACACCACTGCCAAGTGACATCAAGATCCCCCGTTTTTATTGAAATATTAAGGGGCAATGAACGAGCGACTGTGTACTCTTTTGTTTGTGGGAAATGCCGCGGTGTGCATTTAATAGGACCGAGGGTAATTTTACACTACAAGGACAGGAAAAGGCGATTTGTCAGCATTTTGTGTTTTTAAATGCGGACTTAGTGATCACAGGCACCGATAGACGTGTATTCGGTTCTACTATATCTGACTACCTGTTTAAAAACATACACTTTGCATCCGAATATGCAGTCTAACACGCCATGCGAGTCGGTGTGGAAATTACACATTAGTTCTCATTTGTGTCGTTTCCGTTCAGAGTTATATTCTCGGGATTTCATTGTATTCTCCCGCAAGGCAAATTTGCCGGTATATATTGGCAAATTCCAAGACGTGTTTTTCAGTCCAATATCTTCCCAATTAACCTATTTTATTTGGCAATAAGCGTCGCGATCCCTGGCGAGTTCCCCTGCAGTTCAACACCGTTGAATAATAGAAAATAACTGTTCAACGGCCGTGTTTGAACGAACACCTACATACATATTTGTGATTCCCAGAATTATATTACTGTGAAGATTCGGGGTGTAATACTTGTACTCTGGAAGGAAACGGACAGGGGAAAAAATCATACCAAGCGCAGCAATTCGGAGAACGTCTTTAAAACTACATCGCGACGGCGTTGTTCCGAGATCGATGAATTTGAAACAACACACCGCTTTCGTGTAACCATAATACCTAGCTTGGCTGGTTCCCATTCTAGCACCCCGACCCTTGAATAAGTACATGTACAACATTTGTATATATTTACACTCGAAGATTGAATTTGTTTGCATTTTCGTTGCGAGAATGGGCCCCTGAAAAGGTAACTCGTGTCGAATTATACGCGGAACCGTGAAGCACTTAACAAAGGTGCAAGAAATCCTCATTTAGAAAACAGCGATCGCTAAGCTTTTTTTCAGCGGGGACACATATACTCAAATAAACCTGCTCGCTACATCGGTCGGCCACAACCACCTCGTGGACAAAATTGGCATGACGTCAGTCGTTCTTATCATTCACCATCACACCGAAGGCTATGGGGGGTCAGTTCTCACTTAATTTTATCGGCTGATCTGAGATGGCGAAATGCGATTTGTCTTTACAGGCCCGAGTTAATCATTAATGTTGATATCAGCTACGATATCATAAAGAATACGCAGTAACCACCACCCTGCCTAGCAACGGTCGATGGAGACGGATTATTGTCACCGCTTTTCATCAATGCTGTCAGAGGGAAAATGTCAACTAAAACAAACATGGGGGAGGGATTACAAAGCATAAACTCATGCTGTACCAGAAATGATTTCATATGAGGGCGGGGGATGTAGTTTCCCGCCATCGTCTCATGTATTTTGTGTAAATTTCGAAATCTCAGGATGGTGGGCATGTGGTACATTGTGTGTTACATTTCAACTGGGTGAGTCAACATTCATCGTACAATCACACACACAAGCAAGACGTTGCAAAGAAATAAAAGTTGATACCTGTGAAACTTTAATTTATCAAAGATGTTTAAAAGGAACAAGACGATTTTTTTTCAACACTGTTTTAAAAAGTATGTCGCCTTTAAAACTGAAATTGGGCTACATTTGGCACATTTTTTTTACAGACCCCTTTTTTGCGAAAAGTTCAAAGATAAAAGAGAAATATACACCTTTCTATTTTTTCTATAAAAACGTAAAACCACCACGAAGCGCAGACTCAAATGACTAACATCGAGAGGTTGGCCCAAATTTTTTAAAGGGTAGAAAATTGAAAATCAGTAAAAATAAACGTATTGATTGCCCCGGAACTGACTGAATAAAAATAAAAAAACAGCCAAAATTACTTTTTTTTAAAAAATAAATACAATAATGGATTGACTGGAATGGCACATAGTGGGGTTCTCCACAGATCAGTATCAGCAATGTGCATTTAGCGAGTCGCCGCCGACTAGAAACCATGCGAGTTTTGTTGTGGTGTGAACGAACCGTGAGTTAGCGAAAACGAACTGTTTACACGTACAATCGACGCCTCCCAATCACAATCGCTAAACATACTATATCTAAAATATATATAGACAAAAGTTTAAAAGACTAACAAAATATAACAATATTAAATAAATAAAGACAAAAACATCGGCTGAAGGACGACTTTCCCGTAAAAAGGGTGTAACAAATAAATTGTCTTCATGTCTGAGACGGGAGAAAATGTAGAAAAAAATTGAAATATCTACAGCGCCGGAACGACTAACGCTTCAATGTTTTTTTTCTCTCCTCTCTCTCTCTGTTTTGAAATAAACATTTGAAACTTAACACCGTGGACGAGATGTCAGTTTCGTTCAGTCTCACACATAGTCTTTTAAAGGGATAAATTTTCTCTGGAATCTGGAAGCTACCATCTGAGCAGAGGTGGATCATAGTAACTCTCTGAAATGTAAAAGCCAAAAAAACAAATAGATCAGTTCGTTTGTTCGCATTAAAGTTTCCGAGTGAGCCGTTCCCTAGTTTTACCATGAACAGAGGCAAACAACAAAAAATAGCGAGTTATTAAAATAAAGAAGAAATTTACAAAGAAAAAGAAAGGTGTTTTATATTTATATATATACATTGGTGCACTTGAATAAAATCTGGCCCCTACATTTCCATAAAAGTACAAAAGATACGGAAGATTATTGTTACACGTACATGCATGCAAATATCAGTGTTCGTTCAGTGAGCTATGGAGTTTGGGATCGGATTTTGTTGTGTACCAAGTTGACTGTACGATGGTTCGCTGGTTGTAAGATTGGTGTAACCGGTTTGTTCCATGGAACTCTTTGGCATGCTGGAAATGGGACTCATGGTATTGTAGCCAGGGTAGCCCATAGCTTCGTAAGCTTTACCATGCTCGGCCGGCGACATTATGTTGGTAATGGAGAAAGGATGGTTAAATGAAGGGTGCTGACCTGGCCCTAGCATGTGTGCTCCCATTCCTGAGACGTACGCTGCCTGTTGTGGGATTGGTCTTGCCATTGCTAATGACGTCGGCACGTTGTTCGACATTGAGGTGATGCTTTGGATGCTGTTAGGTGGTGGAGGTGACATTGTATGAGGTTCCACTTTTGGTTGTGGCATTTGTTGTTGCGTTTGCTGTTGTTGAGCTGTTGTGGTGTCCGTCATGTGCGGTGATCCTGTGCTACCTGTCGTCTCCTCGCCGTGCTCGTCCGTCCTGCCGTCTCTCTGCGTTACTCTTTGGGCTTCCCTCTTCGGACATTTGAAACGTTTCTGGCGACGAAGATAGCATCCGTTCTCGAACATATTGCCTGAGTCTGGGTGCAGCGTCCAGAAGCTACCTTTTCCCGGGCGGTCGGGTGTGCGTGGCACTTTCAAGAAACAATCGTTAAAAGACAGACTATGTCGTATTGAATTTTGCCACCGTTGCTGATTCTGTCTGTAGAATGGAAACAGGTCCATGATGAACTGATATATATCACTAAGCGTTACCATTTTGTTCGGTGAGCTTTGTATGGCCATGGTTATTAGCGAAATATACGAATACGGTGGTTTAGCGTGCGTGTACGATCGGCGATAGGTCTTGTTGTCCGTCCGTACGCGATTCACCGCATTCATTTGATTTGCTAGTGAACTTGCACGGGCTAGCTCCATGTTCATGGCAGGTGAAGTAGACATTACCTGGTTCATCGTACCCATGGTGTTCATGTTCATACTGTTCATTGGAGACATACCGTTCATACTGTTCATGCCGTTCATGTTCATGCTACCCATGTTGTTCATCGGAGACATAGAGTAGGAATTAATTGAGTTCATACTGCCAGGCATCTGAGAACTATACTGCACCGATGGGTTAATAGCCGCCATACTGCCCATGGTACTCATCGTGGTCGCTGGAGCCGCCTGGTAACTGGCCTTTGGAGAGAGCATCATACTGATAAACGAGTCGGTCGTAGTCGCTCTGTGCTTTACTCAACAGTGATAAAACTGTCACGAGACACCAACTTGCGCTCACTATATGGGAGACTAAATAAGAGCCTGACCTATAAGGTAAGTAATAGGCCCCGCCCCCTATTGTAACGTTTCGACGAATCAGGTACTAGCTCTATGAGTTGCCATTGACACGCTTCAGATAGGCCCCGCCCCAGGATGAGAGACATGTGTGCAGCCCGTTGAATTTAGACCCCCGTCTATCACCTAGCACGTACAAACAAACATGAGAAGACAAATGCGATTATTTCGATGTGACGGGCAGGAAAACGTACAAGGGGAGGAGACCTGGAAACAAAAATAGAAACGTGTTTTTATTTTATTTTTTGCTGTTCGCTACATACTACTTCGTGGTGGCCAAATTCACAAATCCAACTGTAGAATTACTACTTCCTGGCTTAATAGCAACTAAAAAATTCGACATAAGTATGAGCGGACATAAAATGGAAATGGACAAGTGGGTGTCAAAGTCTAATCACAGAGATCCGTGGTTTAATAAAGCCGTCTCTGCTGTTTTTTTTCACAATGTTCCATCTAAATGACTCATTATAATAATGACGTCAGAGTGGACGGAGCCCTATTGTTTTCGGTACATTTATGCCTGGGCACGTATCAGGCCGACAGAAATTCTTCATTAAATCGAATGTTACTGGGTGATGGGTGGCGGGTAAAATATTAAAAAAAAGATAAGAAAAAAATGTTGAATTTTCGTATCATGTAAAAATTATTTTCAACATCTTCAACTATATTCCTAGAAAGGGTCCATCTTACCGGCACATCGGATATTGTTTATTTTTTGTATATTTGAGAAATTATTCTCTTTTTATTTCCATGCCAGTACCTACCAGCGAAGGGCAAATGCACAGTGGCGTGCGGTGAACCACATGTCTGCATCGTCCGTCTCATTTTGGGGGCGTACTTTTTTGACAAATTTAGACAGAGCACTCCGTTTTGTTATTGTATAGAACAGGTTTCCCCCATCTGTGTCTGCCAGGTTTATCATTTCCGATACACATTGAGCGGAGTTGTTTCATGTCTATCACCACGTCTGTTATTCACTTGTCTGACCAGCGTTCGTTAACGAGCCGGCATTTTGTGGACACGCCCTTCTGAGAGGAAACAAACAGCCTAAAAATCATGTAGTGAAAGGAGTGCGCCCTCCTATATTTTTTTTCCTGTGGCTAATGAATTTGATTTGAAAGGGAACACGAGTATGTATACATTGTATTAAATCGATACCCCGTTCTACGTTTCAATATGCTGCAGAATTGTCTGGGTTTTTTTTTTTCCGAGCTGAGAACCGTTTCACCTGCGTTTGTCTCGTGGAAACAAATGAAAATTTTGAACGCGGGATTGAAATTCCCGTAACTTAACAGTTATTGGATGCCACGTAAAACTACTGTCCCCAATACACAGAGAAACTTGACTCATATGGGGTATAATTGGCATATTAATAAACGAAAATAAGTTTTCTTTCACATTCAAGGCAGAGCTTGACACCACATTTTACACAGCAACAACCTGCAAAAACGCAACTCACTCTACTAGTTACAACACACTGACGTCACAGCGATTCTAACGGTTTGTTTGCGTGTATACCCTACTAAATGTTCGCCAAATATACCTACAATTGAACTTTGTGTGGCAGCACAATCATTAAGTATTGTATTAAACCAAATAGTCACTGATTATGTATTTTTCGTTTACTATTTTAATGTGTACACTCGGCACATACGCTATTTATGGCCTTAAAAAAAACTCCAAGGGTCGAAAAGGCGTCCCAGAGACTACGATTGTTTGATTTCTAAATTTGGAAAGACAAACAGGACGCCCGATATATTGCGGGTGAAAACGTTTCGCACTTATTAAGTCAAGCGTCTATACAAGCGGAATGGCCATTGTATTATTTTCCAAGTTACTGTTTTAGACATCGTGTCCGGAAGTCGAACAGGTACATGTGTGTGCTACGTCCCATCGCGACGTCGCCGGAGACCCAACAGGTGTAGCGGAAATGGCCAATATTGGAAAGCAAGGAGGCCATCACGTGGCCTGTCAGACGGTCGGCGTTCTTGGGAAGACGTGTCAACGACCCGCTAAGAAGTCGGGAGATAGTTCTATTATTCTCTAAGACAAGCCTACTTCACAAACTGGTCAAAATCCCCCAAATATTGCCAGCAACCAATCACAGACTAGCTTAAACAATAGCTTTCCCTGACGATAATACTTAGCAACGTTATTTCCCCCACGCTAACTTGAAAAATCTTTTGTTTTTGTCTCGTTTCCGTTTCCGGTCTGTCTTAGAGAATTATTATTATTATTATCTCCGTCCGAGTTGTTATTTATACGTTTCTCTGATTTCAGTTGTTTCGCAATCTGTCCATCTACAATCAGCTATAGGAATTGCGGTTACCGCAATCGTGGAATACTCAGTGCGGAAATCGCAATAATGATGAATTCTTGACACAAGTAAGCGTCCTCGGTGTTGTATTGCATGTTTATCAGAATGCCCACTGTTTTAGAAGTACTCAATCGATACAGTGAAAATTAAAAAATTAAACCCAGCGAATTTCCCCTTTTCCCCTATATTTTACATTCAACTCGTCAAAATTCGATGAAAAAAAAAATCCCTACAAAACACCAAACAAAAGTCTTTTCAAATTTCAGCGAAAATTAATTCCAGCTAAAATAATATATTTTACAGTATTTAAATTTGAACACAGAACAAAAATCAGTTGCAAGTGGCCAATAAGTCGTATTTGGTCAGACGAGGTACGCTGATTTAACAATGTGCTTGTTGACCTCAACTTTTAGCCGGTTGAGATATGTAAGTACTGTTTAACGCCATCACCAATGCCACTGTCAGTACAGGCACCCACATATGACATTGTGTGTGAAATAAACTGGTCGCGGTTGGCTCGATATCACAGAAAAAAGTGGTTTCCACCACAATTTTATTATATAAATAAAAAAAAACCGATTTCTTTAAATATCATTTTGTACATTGCAATTCGTACACATCTAGGGGGGGGGGGGTTTCCTAAGGTGTGTTTTTTTTCTACACTCCCCAAGACGTACGTTCCATAGAATCTCTAGGCCCAAAATAACTCTCGTTGCAGATAAACATTCGAAAGGTCGCATTTATATCACCGCCAGATTGGGGGCATTAAAATCAATGCATATGCGACCAAATTCACCGAAATGTGAGAGAGAAAAATACGCATGACCCCTGTGCTCATAAATTACCTAAAAACGCAGTGAAATTGTAATTGCCAGGGTAATAATGGTTTAGCTGCGTTATTATAGAAGCAATATAGAGGTATTCATTCATTGACTCGCCCATGGATTTGTCCTCAAGCATTTGTCTTAAAAAAGAATCTCAAAACATCGGTCTAATGGCTTCCCATATGGTCACCGATAACACACACAAAAATGTATTCACTGAGTGTACACGTGGGGTTAGGGGCATGAACCAGGCATTACTTTTGTGATCGTGTCGGGATTTCTAGTTTGTAAAAAATATACTGCACTCGTCTTGGCACTGGGACTATTTCACCTCACACACCACTTACAACGTAGCTCTGGTCCTGTAAGTAAAAATAGATCCCCGTGCTCTCGACATCACTATGGTTTCAATTTGAAGCTGAAACATGTGCATAATGTATTTCCTTTTACGAATTATTATCAAATGTCAAAATGTTTTTATTTAATCTGACATTTTGTAGACAGTTATCGTTAAAGCCCAGGAACCAAGAAGTGCACCGTGACCCCTGATGATACTGAAAACTTCGATGGAGATTTCTCTTAGATGCGCACAATGTTGTTGCTGGAAATTGGACAATTTACTTGGAAATACAGACCAGTACCATGATGCAGGCTCAGTCTGTCGTCCACGGCGAGCAGCCCTCGTATAGCATCCAATACCAGTCATAGTTGTAAACTCACTTTAACCGTCAAATTACCTTAAATATTGAAAAACACTGAGAATTCCCCCGATACCGGAAAACAATCGATGTCCTTAACTTGTTCCTTTCTGTTCGGTGTCTGTGCAGTCTGTCGCCAATTACACCCGTGTAAACCCTGTAATCGGGGGCCACGCGTCTCCTCCTCATTGCGTTTGCATGGATGCGCGCGTTGCCCGGGAAACGAATAGTTGCTAGAGAGAAACCTGTCTCACAGTACCGAAACTACCCGCCCAAGCCGATTCAAATCACTTATTTAATTCATTTTTTTTCGACGGATATTCTGGATTATAATTAATATACACGTTTTACCATCCCTTTCAGTCCGTGCTCCAAGCCTAATTTGACAATATTCCATTATAACTGTAGATGCCAACCTCTGCATTTCACGTCTTGACTCGATATGAATATCCTCTTCACCTTATTCACCATTGAGCAAATGTTGATTTCGTCTATTCACTTTGTGACCCGAAGCGTCAAATTAATGAAACTGATGATGGGTAATTCATTTCCTTGTGGTTGTATTGCTGTTCCACGGGGCGGCAAATTTGTTGGTGATGTTTTTTCATTGTTACTCAAGGATGCGGTGAATAAAGCACAGAGGCTAATGCTTTTTCTCATATCACATTTGTTTTCCCAAAGCGCCGGGATTTCGCCGATGATTGCATTTCATCTCCGGGCGTGTGATACATTTCATTATATTATTATACTAATACGATGTTGTTCGATTACATCAAATTAAATAATATCGGCATTTTGTATTTGCAGTTGCATCGGGACCAACTGTCCCAGTTCCTAAAAGCTTCGACTACACCTAGCTTCAAAAAAAAGATGATTCTTAAAAGATGTTCAACTCAAGTGTATTCAACATCCCACTCATTAGACTATTAAAAGAAGCGATTTTTTTTGCAGATATCACACTCGAATTCTCTGATAAAAAGTCCGTCAAGTTTTTTGTCTAAAGCGCCTTGGTGGTGTAATATATCACAAGGATGATAAAACAGGTCGAAAAGAAAGTGATAATATTTCGAATACTTCAGCTGGGCAAAGCTTTCCAAC